AAAAAAAAAAAAAAAAAAAGAAAAAAGAAAAAAAAGAAGAATACAGAAGGAAAAGATCTACACCCCGAAAGAGAAACGCAATACCTGTAAGGGCCTACTCACAGTAGGACAATTTCTACAACGCTCTGGACGCGATTGCAGTCAGATTCATCCAGGTCCGGCCGCAATCGCAGTCAGATGCATTTTGGAAAGTGCTCGTGTGAGTATGGCCATGCCTGTGAAAGTGACGACAGGCTCGAAAAAGATACAAAGAAAATGATGCCCCAGAAGAGACACATACAATCCATCTCCTTTGCCTCACCGAACAAGTATAGCAAGCTAGCCTCTCATCCTTTAGCCAGTGGAATTGGTCGACCGAATAGCCACTGGGCATTGCCGAATAGCCACTGCGCACTGCCGAATAGCCCACTGGGCACTGCCGAATAGCCACTGGCCATTTCCGAACAGCCAACAGAAGAATACCTCCGTTGCCACCTCCAATCCAAAGCGCTTAATAGACATCCACCAACACAAGTATAGCACGCTAGCCTTTCATCTTTCAGCCAGCGCAACTGCTCAACTTAATAGCCATCCGGCATTGCAGAATCCCCAACATAAGAGCTGCTAAGTCACCAGCTAGGGTTGATGAGCCACCTCAAGTCCGAAGTGGTTAATAGACATCATAGCCTGTCTATCATCCTTTAACCAGTGGAACTTCTAGACTGAATAGCCACCAAAACTGCTAGACTGAATAGCCACCAGAACTGCTGTAGTGAATAGCCACCACAACTGCTAGAACGAATAGCCACCAGAACTGCTAGACTGAATAGCCACCAGAACAGCTAGACTGAATAGCAACCAGGTGTTGCAGAATAGCCAACAGAAGAATAGCTCGGTCGCCAGCTAGCCTTGACGAACAACCTCCGATTCGAAGGGGTAGAATAGCCAGCAACATAGCTGAACAGCCAGCCAACGTTGGCGAATAGCCTAATAGCCACATCCCCAGCAGAGCGATAGGTGAATCGCCAGCTAACCTTGATGAACAACCTCCAATACAAAGTGGTAAGAATAGCCAGCAAACTAGCCGAATAGTCAGCTAGCTAGCGTTGGCGAATAGCCGAATAGCCAAATTGCCAGCAAAGGGATAGCTGAATCCCCCAGCTAGCCTTGATGAATCAGCAGATAGCGTTGGCGAATAGCCGAATAGCCAAATTGCCAGCAGAGGAATGCCCAAAGTGATCGAACTGTTGAACAGGCAGCAGCAGAACAGTCTGTCACAGCCAACTAGCCTTGATGAAACAGCAGAAGAATAGCCAAATAGCCAGATAGCATTCCTGGATAGCGACCAGCAACACTTTTAAACCACTCTCGTACAGCTGAGGCTGGCGGGCTCGCACTGCGCGCCAAGCTTTGCAAAACTGCCAGCGAAGCACTTCTTTTGCTATGTTTGGCTAGCGCCGACAGCCATTGCGATCCCATAACCCTGAGCCACTCCGAAATTGTAGGAGGGAGGCATTTGCTTTTGAAGTAGCCTGGGGCCATGTACTGGCCCTTCAATAGCCAGAGTGGGCCTTGCTGAACACACAGCAGAATAGCCTCCTAGCCTTGCTGAAATCCAAGCGATACTAGTGCACATTAACCTCTGCGAAACAGTCAGCTCGCCGTACTGAATAGCAAGTGAACAGAAGAGCCAAATAGCCAGATCCCCTTCCTGCATAACCACCAATGCTGGCGTCGTTGAATAGGCAAGCAGAATACTCGAACAGCCTCCTAGCCTTTGCTGAAATGCAGCCAACCCTACGGCACATTAACCTCTGCCAAACAGTCAGCTAGCCGTATTGCATAGCAAGCTAACAGAATAGCCGAATAGACGGATAGCCTTCCTGGATAACCACCAAAGCTGATGTTGCCGAATAGGTAGCAGAATGCTCGAATAGCCTCCTAGCCTTGCTGAAATGCAGCCAACCCTACTTCACATTAAACTCTGCCAAACAGTCAGCTAGCCGTATTGCATAGCAAGCTAACAGAATAGCCGAATAGCCGGATAGCCTTCCTGCATAACCACCAAAGCTGGCCTTGTTGAATAGGCAGCAGACTACTCGAATAGCCTCCTAGCCTT